GTACTTGAAATCCAGACATAGTCTCCCTTTCAAAATACCAGTTCTAAAGTCTTAAACATTTAAAATCCAAGTCAGTCTTTGAACAAGTATCAAGATCTCATACAATCCCTTTCAAATGCCTTTCATAATTAGCTTGTTGTTGTTACTGACGTGGGGTGCTGTTTCCCAAGTACTTTATGGCTGATAGGTTTTTTAGGCTAAATTTAAGTGGAAAATTTACAGGTTAAGAAAATTTTGGAATTTGAAGCGTCCTAAATATTTTCAAAAAGAAAGAGAAAGAAAAGGAAAAGAGAAGAAGGGAAGATGGCAGGAAAGATTTGTAGTAGCAACTGAACACAAATATTTTGTCCAAACCTAAGGTTCCAAAACTGAATGAAAGATTTCTGGCTAGAACCTAATGATTCATCAGGCTCAGATTGTATAAATTTAAATGTGTCTTTATTCAGATATGTAAAATAATAAAAACTAGGAGGCAACTCAACATCTTAATAATGAAAAATTGAAAGTATCAGAACTAGATGGAGTGATGAAAGTCAACAATTCTCTACCACCAATAAAAAATTAAATCTTTGAAATATAACCATTATTCCATGTTTAAAGATTTCAGGGAGATGTACAGGGAGAATTCAGTTTAGGATATACCACAAGAGAATGTGGCTCCTACTCTAAAAATAAAAACAGTTGTAATATTTTTTGAAGTCATTTTCAAAAAATGAGCTGAGTTGCCAAATCAACCAGGTAAGCTGAATTCCAAAGTGTGACAAGCCCTTCTGAAGAAACAGATACGTACAAAGTGCTTAACTTTTGGTAAGGCATGGGAGAGAGAGAGTGAGTAACCATGTAAGCAGGTAAGAAGAAAACAATTGGAATTGTAATGGATTCTTAAAGATTTCAGGTAAAGAGATTGTAAGACTTATTTTGGTAATTAAAGAATAATCCTTAGAATCCTTTAAAAAAAAAAAAAAGTTTATGTAGTTTTGAGAGAAAACATAAACAGGGGAAGAGCAGAGAGAGAGAGGGGGACAGAGAATCCCAAGCAGGCTCTGGGCTGACAGCAGGGAGCCCCGTGCAAGCTCGAACCCACTAACTTCGACACCATGACCCAAGCCAAAGTCGGAGGCTCAACCAACTGAGCCACCCCGGTGACCCCTTAGAATCCTTCTTACTAAAGTAATTAAAAACAACAACAACAACAATAGCTAACATTGAGTATGAGTTTACTGGATTCCAAGCATTATGCTAGCACTTAACATACTTTATCAAATTAGACCTCACAACCTCATAAGGACTATAAATATCCTTATTTATAGAACAGAAAAGGGTACATAGAGTAAGTAGTTTGTCCACATTCCCAGTCAGTGAGTGGCAAAGCTGGGATTCAAACCTACACATTCTAACTACAACATGGATACTACAGAGTCTCTTTGAATCCAGACATACTTAATGCAATTTAAATTGTTTAAATGCTTTCTTTTGCTCCATTTCATAGTAAACAAGAAACATTCTATTAATTGTTCCTTTACATATATCAAGATAGAATGCTAGAAAAGTCATGTTTAATATAGAATTAACTAAGAATTTTTACCTTCAGGTAAGACTGCTATTACTTAAGACTGTTAATCTACATGAGGAAGGTAGAAAAGAAAACAGAGCAAATCAGAATAGGGAAAGAACCCTTTTGTTCTTGCCCCAATCTGTCCATCACAGAAAACATCAAACTACAGAGATCGAAAGATCTACTTTAAAATTAATGGAGGGAAAAGGATCCTTTTGAAATTTGATGGCAGGTAGAAACTTCTTGCTATGTAATTGTTGTCAGCCTTTTGTTCCCTTAAGCTAAATAACATAAAAAAATTAAGGAAATCTTTAAGATTTCATGCTATGATGGAACTAAGAAAAAAGCACATCACTCTTCTGTTTAAATACAATCTCTTGTCATATCTCATTTTCAAAAAGAACACTAATATGTTACTGAACATATATACATATTTATTTATTTATTTATTTATTTATTTATTTATTTATTTATTTATATATCTTATTGTCAAGTGTAGTTTCCAGTCCTTTTTGGCCTCTCCTGTGCCTTCATAATATTGACTATCTTGTCCCTTTTACAATAAACACTTTCCCAATTTACAAAGTTACTTTGTATTTTTTTTTGAGAGAGTGGGGAATGCACAGAGAGGGGACAGACGGGTGAGAGACAGAGAGAGAGAGAGAGAGAGAGAGAGAGAGACAGAGAGAGACAGAGAGAGACAGAGAGAGACAGAGACAGAGAGAGAGAGAGAATATCTTAAGCAGGCTCCATGCCCAGGGCTGACTGAGCCTGATGCAGGCTGGATCTCAACAACCATGAGGTCATGACCTAAGCCAAAATCAAACCTGAGCCACCCAGGAGCCCCAAAGTCACCTTGTATTCTATCTCAAACTTCCAAACAGTACTAAACATTACTTACTCTAATGTCATTTCCAGAGATAAAACAATTATAATTCATCTATCCTAGATAATGATCTAGTAATTGTAGTTTTAGGAATATAGTCACACCTCTCCACTAAAATGGGACATGGGGCATGCTGAGCAAGATTAAGTAAATAAAATTAATCAGGGAAAAAAATAATCCATATCAGTAGCAATTACATGCAATTCCTGAAGAGACGAGACAGCAATTATATATGTAGCTGATAATCTCATCTCTTCAACGGACACAATTCCTTATATCAGACACCTGTACCAATTTAAACTTTTATTTACTTAGATAGAAAACAGCCATGATTAGAAGACATGCGGAAAAAAATGATTCCTATTTCAGCAAGCGAATGTTTTTCTGTTGCCAGGGCAAACTGTTAGTAAGATATCTATTACAGAATTTGAAGACAGATTTTCAAAGTTGAAAGGCTCTTTTTGAAGTCCTATAGAGGACTTCCTGTCCACCAATTCAGATATAAAAAGTATTCTGACAACCAGAAATGTTCCCTAGTTCCTAGGTAAATCCTTGCTAAATCCTACCACTAGAAATTTCTCATCTTTAAATTTAAAATCATCCCATTAGATCTTCCTATCTATACGATCTACTTTATGTCTCAAAACTTTGTTTATTCTCATCACGACATATTATTTTCTTGTTTTCTTTCTCCTCCAGAAACATTCCCTCTGTCTTTCTTGAAGGAGACTATAACTTTTTTTGACAAAATTATTTTTTCTAATGAGTTGCCAACTTAAGGGAAAGGATGTAGATTCCAACCCAGGGCAACTGCTTTCTCCTTAGCCAAAGTAACATAAAGGTAGCTTTATATAAAAAATCAGAATATTGCATTTAAAAATATTTTCTGTAACATCAGTTTAATGAGTTGTGACAATTCAACCTAGTATCTTCACATAGTTTAAGGCAAAATTAATTTGTGAGCATATCCCTTCTTTAGGCCAATTTCGCTTACTTTCAAGAAAAAACTAAAGGTTCGTGAATACCTTAAGAAGTAGTCACTTTTCAAGCTAAGCACCAAGCCTGAAACAAACACATACCTGGACAAGATAGGTTTTAGGTTTAAATCCAACAAAAAGCGAATCATTTTTTTAATGGTATGTCATACTATTTTTTAAGGTAAGTCATCCAGCATACCGAAGTAATACTCCAATATTAATTTTTGTGATGACGCGGGCCTGCTTACTTCCGAACTTTATAAATCCTCTCCATTTTTATTAGGGTTGGAATTCGTTCCCCTTCTCTCTTCCAATGTTTTCCAAGGGTCACAGTTATGGTATAGTGTGCACAACAGATTTCGCATGGTCATCCTATCTGGAACATGGCACACTCCCTCCTCTAGCTGCCCCCAAACTCTTCTCCGCCGAGACAGGCTAAAAGCAGCTTGTTTTTAGACAGCGACGCAACCAGACGCAGCCGGTCTTAAGAGCCGAATGGCCCCGCTCGTGGCCCCGAGAGTTGCGCTATAAAGCCCTCTGCAAACATACAGTCACCGTATTCGTTCCCTTGCTAACATTTATGAAATTCGTCAAGGCTGAAAGGCTATGCGCAGCCTTCCCACTGCACACGGGAACCACTGGTCTGCTCACCTGAAATTAAAACACCGCCTCGCCTCTCGTTCGAACAGCGCTTTTGTTTACAAGACGCTTTCACAAGCGTTATCTGACTTGACCCTCACGCCAAGCCTTCGAGATGACCCCCGATATCATTAGTGCCTGTTTTACTGTTGAGGAAAGGATCCTGTCCGCAGACCGGTGCTAAGGGTCACCCTCTCCCCGATGAAGGAAGCAGCTTCCCGGCGGAGGGGAGAGCACATGTGACGCCCGCGGCCCCCATCCTCTCACCTGGCCAGCGGGCCGGGCTACCACCTCCTCTCCGTGACCGGGGACTGACTTAGGCCCGTGGCGGCGGGTGCTCGGGGTCTCCGTGGTCCTCTCGATCTCCGCTTGCTCTCGGCCTCAGACCCTCGACCCCACAGTGCCTCACGCTCTCCCCATCGGGCTCACGGTCCGATCTCGCCAGACAGTGTCTGGAAGGACCGGGAAACTCCGCGTCGGCCGCAATCGTCCAGGATCTGGGACCCACTCTCCGAGGCGACGGCGGTGACGATCACTAGAAGGCCCGCAGGCTCCGCCGTAAGGAAAACCCGTCCCCAGTCAAGAGGCTGACATTTCCCAGGCAGCCTGAGCGCCGCCCACTTCCGTTTCCCCGCCTACCCCATGAGTCGCCCAGCCCCCAGCCGCAGGGGGTTGTGGGTATCTCAAAGGCGGGTAAAGTAGCCAGGAAGGAAGTAGCGGAGAGCTTGCTGGACTACAAGTCAGGGCTGAAACTACAGTTCCCAGCAGGCAGCGGGGCTGCAGACGGCCGCGGCGGAGGAGAGCGAGTAGAAGAGCCTTGCGCGCGCGGTGAGGATGGAACGTTGCTAGAGTTCGCGGGTCTTGCTGCTGGGGGTCGGAGCTGCACGCCGCGAGCCGCCGCGTGCCAAAGCGGGAATCCCGGTGGCTGGCAGTTCTGCAATTAATGCACCCATTTAAAACTCCAGAACTTGTGGACGCCATGCACAGGTAAACGGATTGCAAAAGGGGGCAGAGCTTGCATGAACCGTCTTAATTGTTTTAGGCCGCGAAAAATGCTACTTGCTAATATTGTTACTAATGCTGTAGAGTGAATAGTTGCTTAGCCCCTTTGGGAAAGCGTGGATGGCTGGATGCTTTAGTGCGGTGATCAGTGTGCGGTTTTATTTGACTTCCCTTACTGAGCTTTCCTGCTATTTTCAGTCGCTGTATGATTGCTCCCCCTCTTGTCTATTCCCTCCACTTTAAGACATTCTCAAGGCCTTCTACGTGATCGTAAATCAAAAAGCCTTTTTGATTTGCTTGGTTATTTTCTCTTTCCTACTTGGAAACTCGCCGCCGGCGCTTAAGATATGCAATTTTGTGAGCCACTGTGAAAGTTTTCTGCATTGCATAACTTGCAGTTTCATTTAGGCCTATCTTTTAATTACTCGGGTGTGTTTTTGAAAGGAACGGGCCGGGGGTGGGGGGCTTTTGTGCATTTCTGCAGGAAACACCTCCAGGAGATTCCTGACCAGGGTAGCAACGTTACTACCAGCTTCACATGGGGATGGGATTCTAGCAAGACTTCTGAACTGCTGTCAGGCATGGGGGTCTCCGCCCTGGAGAAAGAGGAGGTGGACAGTGAGAATATCCCCCAGGAACTGCTCTCAAACCTGGGCCACGCTCAGAGCCCCCCACGAAAACGGCTGAAGAGCAAGGGGAATGACAAGGATTTTGTGATAGTCCGCAGACCTAAGCTAAATAGAGACAGCTTTCCAGGTAAGGTAAACTGGCGGTCACATAAGAGGTGGATTGAACTACTTTATTGGTAATCTTTGTTTAGTGATCTTCAGGATGGCACATTTTCAAAATTGCCTACTTCTGAAGTCATTTTCCAAAGAAGTGGGACAAGTCATTTTCACAAATCTGCAGGAATCTTGGTAGATACATATTTTTAGATGCACAGTTGACTTTTAACCCATGTGAAATTTTAACCCAGGAGAAGACATACCTACCTACCTCTTAACTTTGAAGTGAATCTGCATGTTCAAAGGCCAGCTCGGTGCTACTGATAAATGGGAACATAAGCAATAATCTTGTAGGATTTTGTTATTGTTGTTTATATTCTGCTCTGTAGCCTTGGTTGAGGGTTTTGGGGTTTTTTGTTATTGTTGTTTTGTTTTTTGGCCATATTTGCTTTAGTGATTTCCAAAGAACGGCTAAAGTGAATGTTAACTATGTGTAGGGACTTCTCTCCCCAGGTCCCTCCCAAGTGGGATTCTTCTGGTATGCTGTGTCTACATTACTGCCAGCATTATGTGTTCAGTCACCCAGCCAAAAACCTGAGGGTCAGTCCCATTCTGCCATCCTCCAGCATCCAGCCAATCATTGAATCTTTCCCTCTTGTCTCCAGGATGTTTTTCAAGCTCTCATTATCTCTTGCCTGAATATTGGAATGGCTCATAATTCCAGGCTTATCCTCTGCAGATCCATCCCCAGAGCTAGAGCAGACTGACTGAAATGTAGAACTCCCCGTATCATTTCTGGCTTTGATAGCTCCCCGTCTCCAGGCTTTTCAAACAGATCAGCGTGTGCCTCCCAGAGTGGATCAGAGCCCCAAGAGTACAGAAGGCCATAGGGTAAAGGTAGTGCAATAATACTGTTTCTTGCTAGAAGGTATTTAAAACATTAAGCCAGCACATTTTTGCTGAGTACATACTATGTGCTAGGCGTTGTTCTAGGTGTTAGGGATTGTTAGGGATTTGGCAACAAACAATGTAAACATTCCTGACCTCAAGAAGCTTCTGTTGGAGAGAGAGGATGCAACAGACATAATAAATGTGGTATGTAGAATGTTAGAAAGTAATAAATGCCATGGCCAAAAACAAACATAGAACAAGTTGAGAGGGATTGGAAGTCCTGGGGTGGGAATATGGATTGCAGTTTTAAACAGGGTATTGAAGGGAAGCTTCACTGAGACATGAGCTTTTTAAGTAAAGGCATTAAGTGTGAGGAATGTGCCATGCAAATATCTTGGAGAAACGGGTTCCAAGCAGAGGGCATAGTCAGTGCAAAGACCTTGGGGCAGAAGCATGTCATGTTTGCTCAAGGAAGAAGGAAGACATGTGTGGAATGAGCTAAGGGTTGAGTAGTGGGAGATAAGGCCAGAGCTGGTATTGAGCAGAGTTGTGATGTGACCTTTTAAAAGGACACATTGATGGGATTAAACTGTAGGGGATCAAGGGTAGAAATTTAGAGATTTGTTAAGAGGTATGGGGGTAGTAATAAGTGTCACGTTCTGGATAGATTCTGACGTTAGAGTTGACAGAATTAGGCCATTGAGGTAGTCTGTAGAAGAGGTGATCAGAGGCTAAACAGGAATTGGGTGGGTGATAGCAGAGAAGAAGAGACAGATTAAAGAAATATTGAAGACGAAGTCTTACAGAGCCGGGGTAAATAAGTATATTCCTTAGTCCTCCCATTTGACTATCTTTGAAAAAGGGTTGGTTGTTTGTTTGCTTTGCTTTAAAAAATCTGTTGTTTTGGGGTTTTGACCCTTTTGTTAGGAATGAGAACCTACAGGTTATCGTCTGGAAATCTACATCAGGGGAGGGGGTGAATTAATTAGAAAGGCAATAAAGGATTGTGATCAAGTCAGACAGATCTGGCTTTGCATCCTAATTCTGCTATTTACCAACCTTGGGAAGTTATTTGAGCTCTCTTTGCCTTCATTTCTTTGTGAAATAGAATAATAATACCCACTTCATAGGTCGCTGTGAGGATTAAGGGAAAGAGTGCCCACAAAGCTCTTAGCATGTTGGGTGCACATAATACACAATAAGTAAATCCAGTTAATTTGGTCAACAAAATTTCTGACACTCATTTGGGAAGCTACTTCACTTTTTCTTTTGTCCTTAGTCCTGTTAGCCTGACCTTGTTAGTACAGAATTTTTTCTTTCAGAATTTAATGCTTCTGTTATTTTTAGCGTCTGGAGTGTAGCACTAGCAATTTGGTGTTTGACCAACTAGATGTGGTGACAGACACCACATTTCTGCTAAGATGAGCATATTTTGATTAACTTGTCCAGGGCCAGTTGCTTTTAAACATTCAGTGTGATTCCTGTATGTCCTTCCGCATTCATACACAGAGATAGAGATGTATAAATAAAAAAGTCACTGTTAAGCAAGGCACTGTAGAAACAAGAGAGATTAAGGGATGGTTGCTGGCTTGTAGGACATTGCAAGTCAAGTTGAGGAGAAAGACAACACACCCTCAGAGAAGCTCACGGCAGAAGATGGCGACCAAAACACTGGCATCCAATGAGTAGTCTAGGTAGTAAGTGCAATTGGAGGCCAGAGGAAGGGAACCCCTTGGGCCAAATTGAACCAGGTACAGCTTCCCAGGTGCAGAAGGGCTTCCAGGGTGATTCCCAGCGGATGTGGACAATCTTCCTCCTTCCACTCAGCGAAAGTGGAGGCTCTGAGGAGAGGGAAAGATCTGGAAATGGTCCAGTCAATAAGTCTACATTGTTAAAACTGACCTCAAATATATATGCCTGAAGCAAGAAGAGAAAAAACAATGTTTGATTTTTATGTTTGTTACTGCCTAAGAGAGAGGCAGGAAGGAAAACTAATAATCTACATCCTACGTGTGTGGAATTGCACACAATATAGACTGGCTAATTGGTATGGAGTGTGGAGAGGTGGATTCCCTGATGCAGGATGAGAGACAGCTGGGTAGAGGATTCCCAGTGGGCCTCCAGTGTCTGTCTGTCTCTGTCTCTCTCTGTCTCTCTCTCTCTCTGTCTCTCTCTGTCTCTCTCTCTCTCTGTGTCTCTCTCTCTCTCTCTGTCTCTCTCTCTCTCTCTGTCTCTCTCTCTCTCTGGATCATCATTCCAGGGAGTTTTGTGTGCAGTTGTCAAGACAGGTGGCTAATGGCTCTGCCAGGATTAGGGCAGAATAAGCCACACCTGCTTTATGTAGCGATCTGGTGACAGTGGCCTTGGGCTGGGAGTTTTTCCTGGTTCCTCCCTCAGCAGTCTCCCTGCAGGCCCCCAGCCAGACTCATACACATCTGGCAACTAAATCCTCCTCATCTTTTTATTTTGGAAGATAAAAACTGTGTGGCAAACGCTGTATCAGGACAGGTCTGTTTTGCCCGCGGGGTGAGTGTATGGAAGGAATTGGAAGTAAGTGGCCCAGTAGTGGGGTCAGTAACAAGCCCAAACAGGACAACTTCATTTTATTCATGTCATTAAATGCCTGTCTTGGTCCCTTTTCTCCCTACACTCCGCCCCAGTGAAAACAGTGAAACACAGTGAAAACACCGTTGAACTAATTTGTTGATTAGCTTTCCCAGGGCTGTTAAACTGCTTGACATTCCAGAGCCTGCAGTGGTTCTCAGACTGGAGACTCTAAAGTTTAGTGTCTGCTGATATCCCCAAAGGAACTTGTTCAAAGTGCAAAATTCCTGAGATTCGGATCCAAGAAGTCCTGCCTTGAGCCCGGGAATCTGCTTTTTAATGCTCACAGGCAAACATTTTTCCTCCAATTTTTTTTTTTAAACCAGTAATAAATATATTTTACATTGCGATGCTGGGTGTGTGCCTGAAACAGAAATCTCACAAAGCTGTAATTCCCCTTGCTAAGATACTTCCTATTGTGTTCCATTCCATTCTTTCAAAACAAGGCTGCTTCAACTGAATTGATTTCATGACTCACCAATGAATCTCAGCCCCCGGCTCCCAAAACTCAGCTCTGCAAGAGCCTTTATGGGGCCCTATGAGGCATCTCTTTGCCCTGCAGCTTCCTTTCATTTATTCATGCAGCCAGTAATTAATACTGAGTATTCTAGAGGTTACTAATACAGCAGTGAACGTAACAGGCAAAAGACCTCCTCTCAGACCTCCTAGAGAGTGTATATACTTTACCTTATTCTCCAAATCCTAATTTCCATGGTTTCTCCACTCTCCCCACATTTCAGAGTTGAGCAAGTTTCTTACAGAAATAGAGGGTTCTGGGGCTGAGGGGATCATTTGGGACCCTGCTTTTGTTTTACTGTGTTTTGCTTGGCAGAATGTTTGTGGTTTTTCAGAAAGGAAGCATAGATTGTTAATACTTAAAACAAGCTAACACAAGCAAATGTGAAGTGAGCCCCCACCCTTAAATATAAGAAACGGGAGGTGTGAGTGCTGGCTTGTCCTTCAAGTATAATTTGTTTATCCATGCTGAAGGAGAGGAGCAGTTTTGAGAGTCAAGAGTTTATGATTAAGATTTGGAATTTTAATTTGAATCTGAGTGTGGGTGATGTTCCAAGAAATAAATATTGCAAGGAAGTTGAGTAACCTATAGGGGTGCCTGGGTGGCTCAGTCGGTTAAGCGTCCGACATCGGCTAAGGTCATGATCTCACGGTCTGTGAGTTCGAGCCCCACATCAGGCTCTGTGCTCAGAGCCTGGAGCCTGCTTCGGATTCTGTGTCTCCCCCTCTCTCTGCCCCTCTCCTGCTCATGCTCTGTCTCTCTGTCTCAAAGATAAATGAAGACATAAAAAAAAAAAAAAAAAAAAAAGATGAGTAACCTATACTGCAAAGATTTCATACATAGAAAATTCTTCAATAAGCTGCTCTCCCCAGAGGAGTTTGAGGCATGGGCAGTGGCGAAGTTATAGACGTGGACAGCTGGGTTTGCACGTGAAGGGTAAGTGGAAATGATGGTGGCTGAGGGTGACGACCAGCAGGTTTGTGAATCTGGCCAGTTTTCACCCCTTCGGGGCTCCAAAG